ACCTTCTTTCTCTCTTCTCTCTCTCTCTCTCTCTCTGTCGCTCGTTCTTGATAATAAACATGTTTCAAATGCATCGATTCCCTTTTTGGCGACGTACGTGCATTTCATCAGCAAGAGGAGGGATTGGGCTGCATCGCACGTGTTAGCTGACGAAAACTCACCTAAGTTTATTTACTCGTCGAGAAGGGGACGGGAAGGATGAGATGGTGAGAGGTGAAGAGAGAGAGAGGGAGAAGGAGAGAGGGAGAGGGAGAAGGAGAGAGGGAGAGGGAGAGGGAGAGAGGAGAGAGAGGAGAGGAGAGGAGAAGGAGAGGGAGAAGGAGAAGGAGAAAGAGAAAGGGAGGAGAAGGAGAGTGGGAGAGAGAGGGAGAGAAGAGATACAGTGAGAGAGAGAAAGAGCGAGAGAGAGGAGAGAGAGAATAAAGGTGAAAACTGTTTTTCGAAAAGCCCAAGAAGACCGCGTTTGGTCTCCGAGGCCACGAGGCCGCCCGCGCGATGGCCGCCTCCGTCACGGACAGAAAACGGACGACGCGGAATAGTGACGTCGCAACTTGGCCCAAGCATAGAGCCACGGTACTCCTCCGCACATACAAAAGACGAAGATAAACTTAATCCTATCTTTAGACATTCCTCGACGACAAGTTTTCCGCTTCTGGGAACTGGCACGAGGACCGAAGAAAAGCATCCTCTCCGGGCCAGCGTCAGTCTCCGGAATACCTCGGCGCGCGGGCGTCGGCGGTTGCGATTCGTGGAAGATGCGAAGGGGTTTTGCAACGGGGGATTTTTTTTTTTTTTTTTTTTTTTGGCCGAAAAGATAGCGACGCGTGATGTTTGTGTATGTGGCGAGATGCGGGACGATTGGGGGGGGGGGGAGGGAGGGAATGGTACTTTGGCACCTCCTTTCGATGAGGGAGGGAGGGGGGGAGGGGGAGAGAGGGAGGGAGGGGGGAAAGGGACAGACGAAGACACAGAGACAGACAGAAATTCAGTCAGACAGCCATTCAACCTGTATATGTGCAATTTGAACACATCTATATATAATGAATACTGCCACAGTGGAGATAGATCTTGCAAATGGCGAGGAACTGCCGAGGGTAATTTTTTTTAAATTGTCTCGTTGCCTTCTGCCACAAGATTGTAGATTAGCAACAGATTTTCATTCGTGTAGCTCCACGGTCATGGTTATATGAATTCAGTGGCGTTGAGGAACGTCTATCAGTATGTTTCAGCCGAAGAGAAATGGTATAAGACGCAGAGTCTGATTACCACACTAAGGTCAACGAGAATACCTGGAAGACAGATGCCAGCTAGCATTTTATCGTCCCATTATTCTCTGTAGGTATCGATTTCTCTAAAAGAAAAGAAAAAGGCATACATTTCAGTTGTTTAGAGCGATGTCACCCAAAACCGCCTCGTGTTGCAAATTCGCGATTCACATGCGGTGTCACGATTCAAATGACGAGAGAGGATAAAATTCACCCCAGATGCGGCACCATCTTTGTGCGTCACGGCGCAACTGCCAGAGGTCGCGAGCTGGGGGAATTGAATTTTATTTTCAGAGTTGAACTTCGCACGTTCAAGGAGGGAGAATAGCGAGTTATCCGGTCATGTCAACGAAAATTAATCTCCATTCGAGTTATTAACTTCCAGATAGGCAATGTTTCATGGCGATTTTTTATGTTTCTGGGGTCCTATCGGTAGGAATAAATGACCTAGCTGGCATCTCGTAGGATCGATGGTTTCTAAGGAAATCCTCAGGAGGTTCTGAGAATTAAGGGAACCCGATTTTCTTGGCACACCAGTTCAGCATCTTTGCGAATCAGGCTGATCGTGACGTCATATGAGCAAATCTGCAAAGTAAGATTCGAAAAATATGAAAAAGAGATAAGTTGTAGAAATGGCTCGCTGGAGACTAGGCCGTCATAAGCTATTCAACATTATCGATTGGCGGGACAGGTAGCATGCACATGATAATTTTTCCCCCCTTTTTCTTTGACACCTAATTTTTAAAAACATACATATATCTCCACCTGATTTTTTATTCTTCTTCTTCTATATCCTCGAATACCTATAAACAAAACCGAAAAATAAAACCCGCCATCTTCCAAAATACGAAGTGGATCCTCTGCCCTGGTAACAGTGTCACAGGCGTTCAGTAGGCCATGCGACTTGGTAATAATGAAAGAAGCGCCACAGGTGGAAAACCATCGCCGTTTCCTCGTCCGTTAAACTTCCCTGTGTATGGCTGTGGAAGGAGAGACACAAGAGAAAGGAGGAGAGTTGAGAAGCGCGTTGCTATGGAGCTGTGACAAGCCTCTATGTGTTTGGATTGGAGATGGCGTGGTGGCTGTAGCCTCCGAGATTTCTTTCTTTATGTCTGCCTGTGTGAGTGTATATCTATCTATGTGCATGTATACTTACATATACATATATATGTATATATGTGTGTGTATGTATATACATATGTTGTGTGTGTGTGTGTGTGTGTGTGTGTGTGGTGTGTGTGTTGTGTGTGTGTGTGTGTGTGTGTGTGTTGTATAGTGTAGTTTTATGTGTATGTGCGTATGTATGTATGTGTATGTGTATATATGTACATATGTATGTATATATATGCGTGTGTGTGTATGTGTGGTATAGTGTATGTGTATGTATGTATGTGTGGTATGTTATATGTATGTGTATTCTTGAATCTGTACATACTTCAAGATTCGTTACCACCTTGACCAGAAGAATATAAAATACGAAAGTGTTTAAACTCAATATTCATGGGAGTTCATTTGTTCATTTCCACTCCTTGAAAAGAACGTATTGATAAGAACAAACAATAACAAATAAAAAATAAGGTTGTCTCAACAGGGTGTTGTATAAACAAGAGATTGTTTGATAGTTTCGAGACTTATTTGTTATTCCTACAACTGACATAGGCTTTTGCATTTGTCTCCGTTAAATAACCTCGTTGTGTCTCATGCGAATTGAATCATAACCTCCGTACTATGTCGGAGATGTGGTGTAGTGTGTGTGTGGTGTGTGTGTTTTGATGGTGTGAGTGTGTGTGTGTGTTGGTGTGTGTGTGTGTGTGTGTGTGTGTGTGTGGTGTGTGTCTGTGTGTGGGCTATGTTGCTGTGCTGTTTCTCTTACTGGTTATTTTTCTTGTCTGTCTCTGTCTGACTGTTCCCTGTCTCTCTCTCTCTCTCTCTCTCTCTCTCTCTCTCTCTCTCTTTCTCTCTCATTTCTCTTCTCTCTCTCTCTCTCTCTTTCTCTATCTTCTCGTCTCTCGTCTCTCTCTTCTCTCTCTTCTCTCCCCTCCCTCCCTTCCCTCCCGACCTTTAGTGACCCTTTTAGTAAAACATTCACACACATACCCTTGCCCATTCACGTTCACGCAGTCATGCGCGATTACACCACACACGTACACCGCACGCACGCAGCACGCACGCACCCACACAACCCACACCACACACACCCCCACGCCACCCACACGCACCCACCCACCCACCACCTCACCACACACACACACACACACACACACACACACACACACACACACACACACACACACACACACACACACACACACACACACACACACACACAGTCATACATCTTTGCATCGGGTGGATTATTGATGTTAATGCTTCTATATTATATAATTAATTATTGTTAATTATTATTATTATTATTATATTTTATTATTATTATTATTATGTATATTATTATTATTATTATTATTATTATTATATTGCCATTGTAAATATTATTCATATTATCATTGTCATTGTTATTGTCATAATTATTAGTTGTTAATATTCTTATTATTGTTATGTTATGAAATTATTAGTTGACATTATTATTAGCTATTTTATATTGCTATTAGCATTATTGTTGTTATTAATATCAGACATGTCACTGAAATACCATGAAGTCCCATGAAGTCTCGAAACCTTCATGAAACACCTGAATATATCTGCCTGGGCGGTTGTTTATGTTCCAATGTACATAAAGCATTTTCTTTTATGCTTGTAAGAACCGTTTTTCTATGTAGAAAAATGTGCAGGTGTGAATGAATATCTTCACAATATTGCATGGTGAAGATATTCGTTCTCATTCACATTTCTTTCTACAATTGTCAACACGGATACTATGCAGATAATTCATCCTTGTTGTATATAAGAATGTTTTTTGTCTGTGATGTGTCTCTATATGAAGTACATTTGCGGTTTTCCTACAACGGACACACCTGTGATAATGACCTTGCGTTCAAAACACCTGTTTGAACACACGCGCTAGAAATGTCACTAGGTTGGATTGAAGAGACTCAGGTATTGTTTCAGTGGGTTCTTATAACGAGGTTGAAAGCGAATATGTCTGTGTGGGGGGGAGGTGTATTTGCTTGCCTGTAGATGTATAGGTAGATGTGGATAAAAAAAGGAGATGAGAGAAATGACAAAAAAAGACGCGTTCAAAGGCATAGACATGCGTAATACCGTCGGGAGTGGCTGGGTTTTATTTGTAGAGATATGTGCGCCATTTTTGTATGTGTTCATTGAGTTTTTATTGTGTGTAATATTCCACATATACAAATGTAATCACCACCACTAATTTGTAAATTCAAGTTCATTCGCAATACAATTGTTCGTAATGTAAGCTGCCATTCCACATAATTGTCTCACAATACTATAACAACATAACCAGTGCGCACTAACTACGCAAGTGGCATTGTATGCTCGACCCAGTAATAATAAATGCAGACAACCGATGCTACACTCAGCGCCATCATAGCGAGTGTGCACCGCATGGCGCCTTAGGCTCATTGGCAGTGATGGGCACCGGTCTCCAGGCTTGCGTCAGCGGGAAAAACCCCTGGGGCTTAGGAGAAGGAAAAGCTCATGCACGGTGACTGTACTGTGCTTGTCTTACTACCACGAGTGAACGAATGTTGCGTTAATCAAGTCTCATTTACGAATATCAATGAAATAATGACGGGGCGAGAGGAAGAGAGC